ACGCCTTCAAGTTGTAGTTTCCGCCAGGGTTCAGGCTGACCAAGGAGTACCCCGCGCTTCAGGCGTTGAGGAGACCGAGTACAGAAGTTCAAGATGTGATTTTTTTTGTCTGAACCTGTCGGTGGCCAGTGGCAAAGGAGATGAACAATTCTTTGGTGCAGTGTTGTGAACTATGCATCGGTGCAATTTGTGAATGATGTATATGAAGCCGATTTATGAACAATTCTTTTGTGCAGTGCTGTGAATTGTGCATCGGTGCAATTTGTGAATGATGTATATGAAGCCAATTTGTTCAATCACTTGTAACTGAGTAGTCCTGTAATGCAAGAAATTGAAGTAATGGAACCTATGCCTTTGTGGCCTCTTACTCTTGCAACATTGAAAATATATATATCATTGCATTGCTGCCATATCACAACACTGCATCAGCAGAACCAAACCGAAGACCAAGAAAATGCTCAATTGATTCTTCAGTTCAGTTCAGTTTTCAGTTCTCATTCAAGACCTCACTGTGTCAGTTGTGCAACTCTTTGCCATCTACAACTGGAAGCAAGCACATAGAGCTGAACACACACAAAGGATACCATGCTCTACCACAGGCACAAGAATACCTACCACCTGTTTCTTCCCTCCCTTGGTGCTTATGCTTCAGACGGCAACACACAACATACATATATACTCTGAATCAAAAGACAGGGAAATTAAACAAGCACAAGTTCGCCTCATGTGGTGCCACATACTATCATTTCACGTTCAGACTTCAGAAACATGCCACTGAGGATCAAATAATTCAGAGCCAATCACAGGTTGTGTTACTCCTTCACGGTTCCACAAGTACATGTACATCTGGCGTTGCCGGAGGGCACGTGGCTCTCCATTGCCCATAGATGCATCATGCATACATTACACCCAAACAGATGCCACAGTACCACATACATTACAAGGTTTCTTAGGAATTTAAGAGGTCCACAGTTTAACATAGGTAGAGGTATCATCTAGGTGCACATGTCCCTGGGAATTTAGAATTACAAAAGATATGACAATATTCTTGGATTGTCTCATGCGGCATAAATTTTCCCCTTCCTTGGAGTCAGCTTTTTGTTGATAGCTCTCTTTATTGGAGACTTCTTTGGCCTAGTTGGGGTAGTCATAGGATCTGTTGCTCCACCAATTTGACTGAAAAACATAAAGTCTTAGGCAAGATGAACGAGCTGCAAAATTTGTCCTTCATTTGAACAAGGATTTTTACCTTCTTGTAACAGGTCCTGGGTTAATATTGACGTGACTTGTCTCTCCCATATTCTCCATGGTTAATTGCAGTTGGCTAAAAAAGAGTAAATGTTCAGTTTGGAAACGGAAAGAATAAAATATACAGATTCAACTATTGTACCTTCTTGTAACTGGCATAGGAGTTGAACTTTCCTGCGCATCAACCTTTTGCCTTTTAGGTGTACCAGTAGTTGCATCTCCTTTGTTGGAGGCAACTGGATTACAAGGCCTCCTTTGCTTGGCACGACTCTTCCTGTAAAATTAAAAGGGTTGAGATTAAGAAATCTATTTCACTCAAATAGCAGAAAATAGATTTTTGTACCTCTTTTTAGTTCCAGTAAGCAAGCACTTTGGGGATACAGTTCTATGCCCATAAGCAAAGCAAGTCTTGCATTGTACCTGCCACTTGCCTTTGGTCCTTTTCTTGTTTCCCTTATCTTCCATGCAGCCAGGAATTCTAAGCTTCCTTAGTCTCCCTACTAGCAATTTAGATAGAGGTGGCAGCACCCTAAAACCAAGATTCACTTTTGCCCACTGAGTTTTGTCCGGCAATGGTTTAATGACACCACCATAGGCAATCCTAAAATGATAAACTAAATAGTAAGGATGCATGTAATCTTGCATCTAAGGATTTCGACATGTAGTAATGAGTGCTAATGCATGTGGGCATGGTTTCCCCGAGACTTGCCACTCCCTGCACGTGCATACATGATTTGTAAGATTAACCACGTGTCTTTATGATCTTGTGCTTCTGAGTGATCTCTGTCACCTCTGCTTCATCTCTTCCACCTTCTTTGACATGTAGGTGACCCAATTGCCTACTCATTGCATAGAGTTGGCGAACTACAATAGGGAGCATTACATGGCCTTCTAATTTTTCACCAATTCTTCTCCTTTTTGCATACAACTCCATGAACTTAGACCGAAGAGTGTCTGCAAGATCAGCTATGGGAAGGTCCTTGCTCTCCTTCACCTAATTGTTCCAAGACTCTGCAAGATTATTGGTAATGTGATCACACTTTATCTCTTCTGAAAATTTGCTCCAGGACCATTTCAAACTATGGTGTTCTTCCAACCAAGGCTTCACATCTGAACTTGCTTCATATATTTTATTCATCAGGTACTCATGATATTCTGGCTAGAAAGTCCTAGCTGCAGGATACATTCTCCCATATGCAGACCCTCTAAACTTCTTGACAAAATTCTTCATTAAGTGGACAAAACATTCTCTATGTTCTGCCCAAGGATACACTTTCTTCACAGCATTTGCTATGCCCTTACAAGCATCTGAACATATAGCTAGATAAGGTGGATTGACAATTGCCTTTTGCAGCTGCTGCATAAACCAAGTCCAATTGTCATTTGTCTCACCATAAAAAAATCCAAATGCAACTGGAAACATCCAGTTGTGTCCATCTAGAGCAGTAGCTGAAGGTAGGTGTCCATTCCACCTACCATTGAGAGCCGTGGAATCTATACTCAGATATGGCCTACAACCATTTAGGAAGCCATCTATGCTAGGTTTGAAACAACAAAAGAATCTATGGAAATATACACCATCCTGCTCTCAGATTACATCTATCTCTACAACACTTCCAGGGCATTCTGAGCTCAACCTCACCTTGAAATTGAACAAGTATCCAAAGCTCTCTTCCCATGTACCAAAAATGTGTCCAATTGCCTTCTTCCTACCGAGGCACAATCATATGATATCCAATTGAGACCTGATACTTGTCCTCCAACTATTTTTGTAATTTCTTAGGACCCATGTTTGGGTCCTTCTTTAAAAAAGGGATTGCCTTCTCTGCTACCCAATGGTAGGTTGCCATCTTTGTCCTCACCTCCCGTGGTGGATGGACAAAAATGTTCTTCCTTATTCAAAGTAACACCTTGATCAAAATAGCATATATTAGTAAAATTAAAAATATAGTTAAGTTTGTCATATCAATAATTTTAGTTAAAAGTCCAAATCATAGAAAATCACAAAAAGTTAGCAAAGTATACCTGACATGCTTTTTATCACTCATCAACCTTGCTACAATAGCCCATGGATGACCCTCGGCTTTGCAAAGAGCCCCCTAATAATGTTGTACATGATTTTTCTGTTCCAAGATCAAATTGACCCATTATAGCATGTTGTCTCACCGCTGATCTCGAACTCATTCATACTAGCATATATGGTTTCAACTTCCATTGGAGGGTTTTCCTTGTCATAAAAAAAATAGAATCTTCACCAGAATACAATCATCAACAGAACTCAAAGACCCTCTAGGTCCATAGGCCCAATGATCGAGTTTCATTTTCATTTTCAAAGATCAAAGCTAGCTTTCTTTGCTCTCTCATCCTCTGCTCTAAGACCAAGAAATTCATACATTGCATCTTCACTCATCAAAGGGACTGGCTACCAATCTTATCTTACGTAAGTGGAATTATCTCTAAATTATCCCAATCAATTCCATGTTCAACAAAGAGGCTCAAAGCTTGATTGCACTTGGTGCACTATTATTATCATTAACCACATTGCTCAAGGTTTACATTTTTCAAAACAACTGAGGTTGCAACCAATTCTCTGGTTTTTCTTTCACATCAACATATAGAAACATCTTCTTATCGATCGCTCTTTTCGAGAAGGCAACAAACAAATCATTATCATCCACTATTTTCCTTTCCCCACCTTTGCTCATATCAAATTCAGATATTACAGGATGCTGGTTGCTTCCCCACTTGGCCCTAATTGTCAGGTCTTTTTCTAAGTTCGCAATTATAATAGCGATAGTCCACCACCCATTCATCATATTTGCGTTGAACATCAACTGAGTTAGCATTATCTAGTTTTGTTGTGAAAGGTGAAACCTGAACACATAGTTTAAATGCCCCATCCGGATCGACCCTACCGAGTTGAAAAAAAGAGAGAGAACATAACCATGAGCATCAGCCATGCTTCTCCCCCAAATCCAAAAAAACAACCTTGGAGAGGACAGGGGAGGGATAGGGATCTGCGTTCTTACCCTGGGGGGACCTCGAAGGGGATCATAGCCGGCCTGATCCGGCCACCCAAAGCTCCTCCTGCAGTCCGAGGACCAAACCCTAGCAGCTTCTGTTCACTCGTGAGAGAGAGGAGGCAATGAGAGAAAGAGAGAAACTGGAGAGAGAGAGAGAGAGGGAAGGAATGCAATGCTTCTCATCCAGCAGATACGTTTCATAAAGAGATAAGGCTAATGGGTACTTTGGTCATTCAACCTTGCCTTGGAAGCCAAAAGAAAATAGAAAAAATGTTGAATGGAAAAAAGAAGGAGAAAACACCTGCTTTCAACGAATTCGCACATATAGTGTTAAATCTTCAACGGCGTGTGAATTAGATGTCAAATGTTCACGTGCGCGCGGATTGAGCGTCAAATATTCAATTTTCTCCTACAAATTCAGCCACCAGCCGTGCACGCGCGTGACCGAACCGCGCTGCTGCTGGTGATTTTGCCGTACACGTCGAGCTCGCGCTCAGAGCGATCCACGTGTTGCCCGATCCGCACGATACGTGGCATGCGAGGGAGCGCCACGAAATGCTCCTGGGGCCCGTAGGCTGCCTCTCTTCATCGGAGACCAGACCGATCACCACCGTCCGTCCGCTGCATCGCTCCCTACCCACACCCGTCAGTCACACACACACCTACGCTCTGAAGTCCGATCTGCGAACCGAGGCGCCGCCCCGCCGAGCACCTCCCTGCCCCACCACAATGGCCTCCTCCCTCGCCGCGCGCCGCCTCCTCTCCCGCGCCGCCGCGGCGCGTCGTCTCCCCGTCCCCTTCGCCTCCGCCCCCGCCCCCGCCCCCGCGCCCGCGGCGATGGGTTCCCGCCGTTTCTCCGCCGACGCGGGACCGCCTCCGCCGCTCCCGCCGCCGCCGCTGGAGCCCGTCGTCGAGCCGCCCACGTCGGAGGGCGCGGGCACCTCGTCTTCCTCCACCACCGCTGGCGCCGAAGGCGCCCACAGGTCGTCGCCGGGAGCCGCGGCGGGGGCGCGGCGCCAGGGTGGTGCGGGGTACGAGGAGGAGCAGGAGAAGGTCCTCCGCGCGTCGCTGCTCCACGTGGTTGCGATTCGAACCCCACTCCTCCAAATCTACTTCCATTTTTGCGTGTCTTAGTATTTAATTTAGCATATATGAAAGAGATTTTTACTCTTCCTGTATGGCTCTGTATGCTGTAGCCGCGCATGGGGTGGAGCGAGTCGGCCATGGTCACGGGGGCGAGGGACGTTGGCGTTTCCCCTGCCATCGTGGGTGCATTCCCAAGGAAGGAGGCCGCCCTTGTCGAGGTATCACTGCTTCTCAATCGGATGATTTGCGTTGTGAGCTTTTCGATTCTGTGAGGTGGCCAAACTAATCTCCCTAAGAAAAAGAAAAGAATATTTGGCCATGTTACATTCGCAATGCAGATATAAAGATGATGCATGTTTCACTTAAGGTATGGATTCCTCGCGTTGGAAGCTAATACGACCATTCTCATTACTGGCGGTAACGATTATTGTTGTGTGCACTCATCTGATGAATGATCCACCTCAAATATACATGCTCCCACGCTTGTCCTGTGCTCGTAACAATCCAGGAAAGAGTATCACCCCCACAGTTCCTAGATAAACGTCACTTTGAAACATATGCTTATATGTTTATTTATTTTACAGCATAAATAAAAAACAATTGTTAATGTGAGCACTTGAGATCGTATTATGTCCTAGACAACATCCATTTTGGAACAGGGGGAGTGCTTTAGTTCACACACACACACAAAAAAAAAAACTCTGCAGTCCCAGTGCTTGGAATCAGCGACAGAATCCCCTCTGCAGTCCCAGTGCTTGGAATCAGCGACAGATACTCATAAGTCATAACTAATGGCTAATGCAGTACTCCCTCCGTCTCAAAAATAGAGTCGCTATGGGAATCGTGTTGGTCAAACTTTCTCAACTTTGACTAGGTTTGTAGAAAATACGTGCAACATTTATATCTCCAAATAAGTTTATTATGAAAGTATATTCAACGATCTACTTAATGATACTAATTATGTACCATAAATATTAATATTTTGTTAAATATATTTGATCAAAGTTAAAAGTTGCTGACTTTTTGGAAAGCGAGAATGGCTCTTTTTTTTTTACAGAGGGAGTAATGCTTATCTGACATGGCTTGTATTGAATTTAGCCAACTTGGTATGGTCGTATTCCTAGTTTGGCCAGATGGTGGATTCTATTTATTTTGTTATTAATGAAAAAGCATAAGTCGTGACTGTCCTAGTTGGGCATTTTTTTCTTTTTTTGTTAGAAGTGTATGAAATGCTAGATTTTGTCCATCTGTTGAAACCATGGATTCATTGCACAGTTATGTGATAATCTGCTGTGTTAACATTCAAACTTGCTCCACAAAGTCTAGCCCTGTGTTGCCCTCCAGCACCCAACGTTTACTTGATCTGCAACATTAAGTTTAAAGATCTCCGTCCGTATGTGCAACTATTTAACTGCATTGTCTTAATAATTCATATGTCTTTCCGTTTGCTAAAGATAGTGCAAATGCTTTATAAGGATTATTGGGCAGCATACCTGCATCAAGCCCAATTACTTAAACAAGTAGTTACTTAGGTCTGAGTGCCCTGACTTTTTTTTGCCTGCATTTATATGTAAATTAACATATGGAATTATGGCATACAACTTATCTATTTTCTGTCTCCTTGGTATCTTGAATCCAAGATGTTTCCTTGCTATATCTGAAATGTTTGTGCATTTCCTTAGATTGTGAGTAGGACAGCTTAGATATCCTTTGTTTGCTTGGAAGTTGGAACCATGAAAGACTTTTGAAAAATTGAGCATCCAACACTAATTTGACTTTCTTGCTTTATTCTTTTTATAATGTGGTATTGTGGTTGGATTTTGGCAAACTGACTGATCTTTTTGAAAACTATATGGTTTCTAGTTTTTCTTGTCATTGCAACATTTGGGAAACTACTTCTGCATGGTAGCTCATGATCAGTGAACCCTATTATTCAATACTCAGTGGTCACTTTGACATATATGCTGTTAGTGGGCATGACTTCTTCCATGTTCCACTGTTATCTACCATGTTACTTCTAGAACCATTTACATATCAAATAGTGCACTTCCTTCAACTAGCTAAGACATTTTATTTGCATACATACACTTCAATAGAAAAAATAAAAGTACATGCTAGCTATGTAGCCTGTTCAATAAGTGGTTGACACATGAAAAAAAAAGGGTTCGAAGATTGCTCAGATGTTTTACTGATGGGTTCATGTAATGAAACTTGAAAAATTAACTGATAAAAAGATGGTGTTTAGTTGCCAGTTGTGCGCATGTTCCTTCCTTGGTGCACTTGATGGGAAACTAGAAATAGAAAAAAGGTTTTTCCTAAAAAAATTAGTCAGTTTGAGTACCCCGTGCTCTGATGCCCTGCCCTGCTTAACTATAGCAAGCAGGAGTACAGGACAATTATGGCCTAGGATGTCTCTGTAGTTCTTCCTAGACAACTATCTCTGCTTCCATTTGTCAAGGTCCTCTTTGCTGTAACGATCATCATATTGAACAAACATATGTCACTGGAGTGCCCAGATGTTACTACCACCTGTGTTGGCTTCAATCATTCCATGTCAGCTACAGTGTGCTCACACTTGCTGTGAGTCATGACAATGCCTTGGTCCTAGCCAGTCATGACAGTGTGGTCCAAAAAAAAGTTTTAGTCATTGTTGTAACCCACCCAAGTCAACTTCGGTCTTCCTCGCCTCTCTTCACGTTACTATCCTGGTTTAGGATTCCACTACGCACCGGTGCCTCTGGAGGTCTCCGTTGGACATGTCCAAACCATCTCAAAGCTTGTCCAACACCGGTTGAGATGGTTTGGACATGTCCAACGGAGACCTCCAGAGGCACCGGTGCGTAGTGGAATCCTAAGCCAGGATAGTAACGTGAAGAGAGGCAGAGGAAGACCGAAGTTGACTTGGGTAGAGGCAATAAAAGGAGACTTGAAAGGATGGAATATACCCAAAGACTTAGCCTTAGATAGGAGTGCTTGGAAAACAGAGACTTGAAAGGATGGAATATACCCCAACTTGTTTGGGACTTAAAGGCTTTGTTGTTGTTGTTGTTGATTGTTGTAACCCACCCCTCCTAGTAAGAGGGTGCTTGTATGGGCATTTCTTTTCCCTATAATACAAAGATACACAGCTCTCCTGCGTGTTAGAGAAAAAAAAGACATGACAATGCGCTTTCTGCTTTATTTGTTGGCAACGCATTCCACACTGATTTAGGCTACTGTACTATGCTCAAGTTCTGCATAGATGATAAACACCTTGCATCTGTTACTTGTATTTATTTTTTTCTTTTATTGAGCTGGGAGGTAAATGAGAAACAAAGAGATGGAAGAAAGCCAAACAGTGAGGAATAAGAAAAAGAAAAGGGAGACTGAAAAGGGGGAAGCTATATTTAGTTGGATGGCAAGATCATGGAGGGATGGGCTAAGTTTACAAGTTCTAATACTTCTAGGGGTGAATTACTGTAAAATAATGTTGTCAGTAACTTCAAGTCATCTTGAATGTGATGGTGATTAATTTGATTCGGTAAAAACTCAAACCTTCTCTGGTCAGTTCTGTCATGATGCATGTTCAGAAAGAAAATCATTGCTTGTGCCTATCTTTAGATGATCCTTTGTTGTTGCCTTGTACATATGTCATGGTAGGGAATAGTTATAGGCGCAGGAATAGGGGCTAGATGGCAAGGAGAGGCCTAGGAGATCATGTAGCTCAGGAATTAAGCGTAGGAACATGCATGGAGATCATGCAGGCGCCTGATTTAGCAATAAGGAAGAAGTCAATTAGCAAATGAGAGGCTAGGAGAGTTTGTAATCTCTTTATAATCAGTCGTGATCAATGAATGAATCAAGCAATTGCAGCCAACTCTAGTTCTCATCTTATTTCTCTGTATCTCATCTCCTTTCTTTGTTATCCCCTCCCTTGCTGTTATCTCTACCACCGTCACCACAGGCATGAAGCTGGCGGCCGAGCAGCCGGCAACCTCTCACACCTACCCCATTCGGTCACTGCCTAACAGCCGTGACATAACGAGAAAGGAGATGAGATAACAGAGAAAAAGATGAGAACTAGAGTTGGCTGCAATTGCTTTCAAACTAGTCGACACCATGTGGCTTTGCTTGGGTGGAGGTGTTTGCAAATTGTGCTCTACTACTGTGTTCCTAGATTCATTGCACGATCTATTTGGTGATCAAGGATTAGCATTGTCATCTGGACCATCAGCAAATTTTTTAGATGGTGTAGCAGGCAAATCCTGAACATGAATATTCTACCTTGCCACTAAGTCATCAAGAGATGGCATTGGTTCAGCCAAAAGACCAAGGCATTTTATTTCTGAAGCAACACATGGCCTGACAACAATCAGTGAGTTATATAATGAACCTTTCTCCCATACCATGCTTTCCAAAAGCTGTTCTTCTAAGAAATTTAGGTACCTTTTCAGTTCTGGGGTCTCTTCATGTCTCACAAAGTTCTCAATAATTTTGCTCAAATTGCGGTTGCTCTCAAATGGAAATCATGATGCCTGTCTTAGACCAGTACTCTCAAGAACAGCTGGAAACATCATTGACATGCCTGCTTTGATCTTATGTGTTGCCGCCAATAGAGATCCTCTAGATACCAGCTATGCTATTAGAGCATGCAATGTAAATAATCTCTGAAATCCCTTGATGACCGAGGTAAGCTCGCTGATGCTAATACACTATAGGTACACCGTCTTGAAGCCCTCTTGGTTCCTTCCTCATCAGGCATGTTCAGCGGTCATCAAGGGATGGCATGTTCAGCGGAGCTAATATTGGCGACACATAAGACAAGCATCATGATGTTTCCAGCTGTTCTTGAGAGTACTGGTCTAACCGCATTTGATTTGAGCAAAATAATTGAGAACTTTGTGAGACATGAAGAGACCCTCCCAAGAGAATTGAAAAGGCACCTAAATTCCAAGAACAGCTTTTGGAAAGCATGGTATGGGAGAAAGGTTCATCATTATATAACTCACCGATTATTGCCAGGCCATGTGTTGCTTCAGAAATAAAATGCCTTGGTCTTTTGGCTGAACCAATGCCATCTCTTGATGACTTAGTGGCTAGGCAGAATATTCATGTTCAGGGTTTGCCTGCTGCACCATCTAAAAAACTTGTTGCTGGTCCAGATGACAATGCTGTTCTTCGACCACCAAATTGATCGTGCAATGAATCTAGGAACACAGTAGTAGAGCGCAATTTGCAAACACCTCCACCCAAGCAAAGCCACATGGTGTCGACTAGTTTGAAAGCAATTGCAACCAACTCTAGTTCTCATCTTTTTCTCTGTTATGTCACGGCTGTTAGGCAGTGACCGGATGGGGTAGGTGTGAGAGGTTGCTGGCCACTGGCTTCCTGCCTGTGGTGACGGTGGTAGAGATAACAGCAAGGGAGGGGATAACAGAGAAAGGAGATGAGATAACAGAGAAAGAAGATAAGAACTTGAGTTGGCTGCAATTGCTTGATTCATTCATTGATCACGACTGATTATAAAGAGATTACAAACCTCCTAGCCTCTCATTTGCTAATTGACTTCTTCCTTATTGCTAAATCAGGCGCCTGCACCTTCAACGATCCCATCCAACGCATCATTAGGTGTCGCCTCAACACACACGGTCCAGCCTGCACTCACGGCAGGTATGGTTGTGCCTACAAGCTATGTCGACGCCCCACCAGATCACAAGTTTTCCATTATCTCAACAAGCGGCGGACGTTCACCAAAATTCTCCAGGCTTGATGAGTTGGATGTGGCACCGCCAACAACACGAGCCATCTCATCTGTTCTGTCATCTGTTTTGGTGTTGCTGGACAGGCCCAGCGTACTGGTTGAGTGCTACATCCTAAAGCTAGCTGTTGGGCTCTTCCCATGGGATCCAGGAGGACATAGTTGTCATTCAAATTTATTTCATATTTTAGTGTTTTTTTTTCAATAACAAAGGTAAGCCGAGATGTGAAAGGCTTAACCCGTGGTCGCATTAAGTAGGTCTGTGGCAGCTTGTGGCTGAGCTGCTCCGAAAGGGGGGGAGAGATGTCATGTGGGGGCGCAGGCAGTAGCCACCCGCCCCAGCCCAGATGCCTCCAAGGAGCTCCCTCAAGAGCAAGGGAGCTCAGGCCTGTAATCAATAGTGTTTAAGAGTTGGTAAGTTAAGGTAGGGCTAGAATCAAGGAGCCAGCCTCAAGGGCGTGCAAGAGCCCAAGGAGGCACAGGCGGCTGTAATCAATAGTGTTTAAGAGTTGGTTGAGAGATTAGAAGTTAAGGCAGGGCTAGAATCAAGGAGCTAGCCTCCTATATGTATCTGGTACTCGGTTGAGATGAATCAAGCAATGAACAACAAATAATCCAGTTACCCCCAAATATTCTAGTCTCCCTCCATGCCGACTTTGCCCGGCCTTCCTCTTGGCAATGGTTATCCTCCCTATCCCCGATATGAACTAAGGTTCATAGCAGTGCTTATGATTTTCTCTGTTTAAATGTGCCCATATTGATTATAATCATGTATTTTTATGTAGTTTTTCATGGATGACTGCCTCCAACAACTGATGGATCGAATTGATGCTGGAGAAGGAGAGCAGTTGAAGAACTTGATACTGAGTGAGAGACTCTCAAAACTTGTTCGGATGAGGCTGGAAATGCAGGCACCTTATATATCTAAGTGGCCTCAAGCACTGAGTATCCAGGTGTGACATAGTCTTCTTTGTTTGGGACTTGGAGTTTAGTTCAGTTGCATGGTTCTAATAGCAGGTATATCCTGTTTGCCAGTCTCAACCAGCAAACGTCTCAACAAGCTTGAAGCAGCGAGCTGTCCTGGTCGATGAGATATGGCATGCTGCTGGAGATTCTGGATCAGATATTGATTGGTATGTCAAACGTGCAGTGCTTGGTGGTATCTACTCAACCTCAGAGGTGTATATGTTGACTGACAATTCTCCAGGTTTGCACTTCTCAATAGCTCTATGTTGGTTTCCAATTCTTGTTTCATTTTAAAATTGACTTCAGTAATTTTACCTCTGCAACAACTTGACTGCAAGGATTGAAATGGAAGTATTTCTGGTAAACTAGTTGAACTGAAAGTGGTTCAGAACACAGATGGGGGCGCACCGGACGCTGCCGACTTTTCCACTGTTTCTTTGTTGCTTTTGCCGCCTCACTTTTTTCGCTGTTCCTTTGTTGTTTTTGTTATTATACAACTAAAGCACGGAAGAAAAGCAGTCCTAAACTGAAATACAGATCTTTTGCTAGTTCAGTCTTGAAAAAGCACAAGATGCAATTAATAATATGGTTTCTTGTCTTGTTTGGTGTTTGTTTGACCACATCCTACTACAGTAAAAAAATATCAATTCAAAGTGTTATGAGATTCTAGACTGTCAAGATGTACTGCTGTTTATATGATTGTATACTAGCGTTTACATGTTAATGTATCGTTCCCACTTCTGGCACTTGGCAGAGTTCCGTGATACTTGGACGTTTGTGAACCGCAGAATAAAGGATGCTCTTGATCTTCAGAAAACATTCCAAGAGGTAAGCATATTGTGAGCTCAAATTGCATCATCACATTCATGAGCTGTTTCACCATGTTACGTGTCCTCAGTCTTTGTACCAAGTACAGTATTTAACCTGTTTAACTGAAACCATTTTTCCTCAGGCCGCATACCTGGCTGAAGCCGTGGGAGCAGGCATGGGCGGCACCGTGCAGGGTGTTCTCAACAGGGTCTTCCAGAAACGTAGTGGATGAACTTTTTCTTTCCCAAACACGTAGTGGATGAACTAAGTCTGTCTTTTTGCAAGCTGCATAGGATAAAGCACATTTTCCCGTTCACCAACTGGCGTATGTTTATAATAAAGCAAATGGTGATGTGGTTGAGATGCATCACGTTAGGGTAGAAAGTGAAGATGTGTTTGGTGGTGATGTTGAGCTGCATGGTTTTTCAAATGGGTGCTGTCAGATCGCGCAGTCGCATGTGCTGGCTCTGACGCTGGTGAGCGACATCAACGCCAAGCACTCCAGCGAGAGCCAGCAGCTCTCCTGCGTGTTTCGTGTGTGCGGGTGTGCGTGTGTGATCTGTACAGGGGCTCTAACCCTCCTTTCTCTTTCTCTTAATATAATGATACACAACTCTTTTGATTGTTCAAGAAAATGGCCATTGGGAGTTGTCGGAAGCCGCGCAGGTGAAGGCACTGTTAGACGCAGGTGGCCTTCGGCGGGGACCTCCACATCCTGGTGCCATTGGCGCCGGTGTTTGACGACAACTGCCTGCCGCTGGCAGAGACTAGCTAGCGAGCGAGGTATGACGCTCGACGCCATGTTCGGCACAAGAGGGATGCACTGTGAATTTCGATGATTATTTCTTGCTTGCTGTTTCAATTTCTTTAGTTTCTTGGATTGGTGGCGGCTGCTGCAGTGCTGCTAGGGTCTTGTTTAGTTTGCGATTTTTTTTTGGGAAATGGTATTGTAGCACTTTTGTTGTTATTTGACAATTAGTGTCCAATCATAGTCTAATTAGGCTTAAAAGATTCGTCTCGTGAATTTCATCTAAACTGTGTAATTAGTTTTATTTTTTATTTATATTTAATGCTTCATGTATGCGTCAAAAATTCGATGTGACAAAAAATCTTGAAAAATTTTACAAAATTTTGGGAACCAAACAGCCACTAGCTCGCGCCTGGTCGGTCGTGGACTTGAGGGTGCGTTTGGTTTCCAGAGCCAACTCGCCTGACCTCACCTTGCCCTGCCAGTGCTAACAATGAGAAGCTTGCCCAAGCTGGCGAGCCGTTTTGCCTCTCCCACAAAAGCAAGGGAAATCTGGCTAGCACAAACACTGAGGCAGGCATGCAAGAAAACCAAACGATACTCGTTTAGAAATCTCGCTCTGCAAGGCAGCACAGTGCCGGCCCAAGAAACCATACGCGCCATCACTAGCTGGTGCGTGCGGGTGGAGAAAAGAGTGATCCAATCTGAAATGAGTACTAGAAAAGGATGCGCGCTTCGCGGCGCCCTACCAATCAAATTGTTAAGCAATAGTATAAAGACTATATAATTAAGAATAGATACCGACGACACAGATTGCGTTGATAACACAAATTGCACTGTCATTATGGACTATATAACTATGTCCACAGATTACATGTACAATATTTTTTGTCAATACTTCAGACTGTTGGTCCAAATTTCTATCCTTTGCACTAAACAGTTCATGACACTAATATGAAAAGAAGTAGCACACAGTTTGCATCATGCAGTCAATGTTCACACAAATATGAATATCTAGTCAAGTACGACAGTAGTAGATTAGTAGCAAGTAACTTCAACAGGTAAACACTTCAAGCAGTAGACACTTCAAGCAGTAGATTAGTGGCAGGTGCAAAGAGGTGGTCACACAAACAAACAGTATCCTAGTAGCTCATGTCAGAGGGAGCACTGCTGTGATGAAGTGGGACTGTAGACGCCTGCAATACAATAAACAATTAGCTGATCAGAACAGTACAAAAAATATCAGGAGCTTTCAAAATTAATGGCCAATTGCATTAGTTGGTAGATAAGGTTCTCACGAAGAAAAAATCGGTGTGTTAGCTCGATGTAACAATTAAAGTCCTTCATTTACAACACTATCATTTTAGCTTTAAGAACATTAGCTATGTAGTTTATTTGTGCTTGTCTGTGGAGAGGTCTGCATATTATATAAAAAATGCTATAGAAAGTTGGACTTGGACAGGTGGTTGCATAAATGTGAAGCTTTATCTTATTCTTACATGAAACATCAATATGTTGTGTAGGTATAGAACCCAGAAGGACCTTTTCTTTCTAAAATTACGTAGAAAGCAACACAGAATGGCATCGTTACATCACAAGGTAAACATTAGCCTAGTCCATGGCAACCCAGCATCATGCTTTGACCTATAGGGATGTTATTACTAAAACATTTTAAACAAAAGCCATATCCCTACCATACCACACGAGTAGGGATATTATTAATATATTATACAAAGCAATATCCTGCACCGAATGCATAGCAAACAAATAAGAAAGTAGCATCACACACTCATCTTAATACAGTATTTACCAGTCTACAGGTGGGAAGGGCAGGCAATGTCAGGTAACACTCCAAATACCAACGGGCAATAGAAAAGGAACTAAATAATCAGTTGCCCGGATGTATGAGCTGAGAAATAATATCATACATGAAGTAAGCAAATTTATTATCTATTCAATTCATTTACATCATGTATGTTCATGGCATGCCAATGAGATGGTGAAAATGTAGCTAAAACTGACAGGTAATGCATGCAGCCTATGCTAATTACAGATCTCTTTATAGGTTTCAATCGCAAAAGATGAACATCAATTTATTAGCAGGAGTCAATCTCGTACGTGCCGCCAAAAACTTTGAGCTACATGGCTGCAGATGCGGTGAAGGCATGTCGCCACTAAGTACCTAGATGTCAGATTGAATCTATGAGCTCATAGATTAGAGTGAATTATTACTCAAGTTAATTAGAACGGAATTTCTTAACCAAAAAGCAGAAAGAAACTGTATATATCGCAAAACAAACCTAAATTTGAATTTTTTGGCAAATAGAATCCTCCATACGTTTGAGGCATTTTATCCAACATATTCCGTGTGTGATCAGAGTGTCGTTCCAGCCTTGGGGCTTCAACTGCAGTTGCAAAATAAGAAAATGGTAAGCAGAAGAGAACGGAAGCTCGCCGCCCGGGGGGTGCTCGCCGTCACTACGGAAGACGCCGCCGCCAACCCCAGCTATCGCCCATGGTCCGAGGTCCCCATCACCTTCAGCAGGGCCGACCAGTTGGCGGACATCCCCTACACAGGGCGTTTCCCCCTCGTCCTCGACGCAACCGTCCAGAAAGTACTTTTCAGAAAAGTGCTCATCGACGGTTGAAGCGCTCTGAATCTCCTCTTCACCGGAGCCCTAAAGGAGATGCTCCTCGGGATAATAGATCTCACACCCTCAGACTCCTCCTTTTGGGGGGTGGTACCTGGCAGGGCATCCAAACCGTTTGGAGAGATCACCCTACCAGTACAGTTCGGCACGGCAAACAACTACCGCGTCGAGCACATCAACTTCTACGTCGCCGACTTCAACACCGCCTATCACGCCATACTTGGTCGGCCAGCTCTGACCAATTTCATGGCTATACCGCACTACGCTTATCTGGTGCTGAAGATGCCTTCGCCTGCAGGAGTCCTGGCCCTGCGGGCCAACCTCTCCATCGCCTACGCCACGAGACAGAGAGCCTCGCCCTCGCCGAAGCCATCGACCTCTCCATCCAGATGGCCAGTGTGGTCACCGACGCCAAGACGGTGCCCGCCGATGACCTGAAGATCCCATCACTGGAGCCTCCTCGCGCCTCCGCCAAGTCCAAGGAAACCAAGGAGGTCGGCCTCGGCCTCGACGACCCCTCCAAGACCGTGAAGATTGGGGCTCACCTCGACCCCAAATAGGAAAGCACGCTCGTCTCCTTCCAACATGCCAACGTCGACGTGTTTGCTTGGAAACCTGCATACATGCCGGGGGTACCACGGGAGAAGATCGAGCACTCCTTGAATGTCTCGCCGACCGCCAAACCGATCAAGTAGAAACTCCAACGATTCGCGCCAGATAAGAAGGAGGCTATTAGGGTAGAAATAAAATGGCTCCTAGCTACCAGATTCATAAAAAGTGTATCATCCTGAGTGGTTAGCAAACCCTGTTCTCGTTCAAAAAAAGAATAAAGAATGGAGAATGTGTGTTGATTACACTGATCTTAACAAACACTGCCCTAAAGACCCCTTCGATCTGCCTCGGATAGATGAGGTTGTAGACTCCACCGCCGACTGCGAACTGCTCTCCTTCCTCGACTGTTACTCCGGCTATCACCAGATCTCCCTCAAGGAAGAAGACCGGATCAAGATGTCGTTCATCACGCCCTTCGGTGCATATTGCTACACCACCATGTCCTTCGGACTCAAGAACGCCGGGGCGACCTATCAAAGGGCCATCCAGATGTGCCTCGATCAACAGATCGGCCACAACGTCGAAAGCTTACATCGACGATGTCATCGTCAAGTCTAAGACCGCCAACAATCTTATCGCCGATCTCGAGGAAACGTTCGCCAACCTAAAAAGGTACCGATAGAAGCCGAACCCTTCAAAGTGCATCTTTGGAGTTCCGTCTAGTATACTGTTGGGCTACTGCTGGGCTACATCGTCAGCGCACGTGGCATCGAACCCAACCCAAGAAGAGATGTTGCAGAAATGCATCACCCAAGAAGAGGGAGTGAAACTACTTCTCGAAATTCACTCTGGTTCCTGCGGCAACCATGCGGCCTCAAGAAACCTGGTCGGCAAAGCTTTCTGAGCTAGTTTTTACTGGCCCATGGCCATCTCCGATGCTGAAGACCTCGTCCGACGATGTGAAGGATGCCAATTTTTCGCCAAGCAAATACACGTGCCGGCACAGGAACTGCAGACCATCCCAGCTTCCTGGCCTTTCGCATGCTGGGGACTGGATATGATCGGGCCTTTCAAGCCAGTGCCAGGTGGTTTTCGGTACGTGTACGTCGCCATCAACAAGTTCTCCAAGTGGATCGAGTATAAACCGCTTGTCTTGGCTACTGCAAAGAAAGCAGTCGAGCTCTTTGAGGATATCATCAATAGATTTGGTCTCCCGAACAACATTATCACCGACCTCAAAACCACATTCGCTGGTCATCATTTTTGGGACTTCTGCGAAGA